GCATTTGCAGAATATTTCTCTAATCTTCAGAGCTATTCCTGCTCCTCAGGATTACCTGTCCTTACGCTTAGGACATGCACTATCAGGGCCATCCTCTAAGTGAGTGTTTGACAGTTCTCTGCATCTAGCACCTAGCACACAGCTGTTTTGCAATTCTCTTAAGGGCAAAGCTTTGTAACAGCCTGCAGATAGAAAGAAGGGAAGAAAAATTTTTCAGCATGCTTATTTGATCAGAGTACTCATTGTGAACAGGTGATGTGCTGCAGGGACATCTTTTGCAGCTAGGGAGAGAAGAAGAGGTTCATTTTTCTGCCTGCTGCTCTCAGAGCTTCCTGAGACAGTGACTTACAAAGAAAATCAAACACTTTGCATTCATTATGTGATTTAAAAACAAACAAAAATGAAAACCCAGAGATACTGAGGATCTCATTCTGAATACTGAGTGGGACCTGAGAACATGATGTAGCTGTCTTTTGGAGCAGAAGTTTTGCTTTCTGGTCAGGGGACATGTTTTGCTCATGGTAATTTTGTGATTTGTGTGGACCTCAGGAAAACTGGCCAGATCAGAGTAGTGTGTGCCACACAATCCTCTTATTTAATTTCTCTATTTATTTTGAATTAAGGAAGCAGGCTAATGATGTTTCATCCCCTAAGAAATACGTTAATTCACATTTAATCATTGTGTTTTAAAATAAAATGTTCTTCACCACCACTGGCCATAGGTCAGCCAGTTAGCTAAACTAAACCTGGGAGAGCACAGATCCCTGGAAGAATACGGATCTAAAACTGAGAGCAGGATGAGCATGAAAAATAAACTGAAGCATGAGCCACTGAACAGCACATACACTTCACTTCTGTGGTTCAGAAAAGGGTTTTTTTTCCTACTGGTAAGTGAAGTGCAAATAGAGTTAATGTTAACATTATGTGTTCCTCTGAACCTACAATGAGACAGGAAGGAGGCACACCTCAGATGTCAAGAAGTCAGGCTTCAGGAGAAAATAATGTACTCATCTGCCTGTACCAAAGGTTTTTAGTGAGTTGGGGAGTAAAAGCAAAGAGGAAACAGGTCTGGAAAAGACATAAGATATTTCATTATTTGTTTAAAAAAGCCCAAATATTTCTTGCGTAGCATGCAGGAATGATCAATTAGTTGAGATGAGTTTGTCTATCCCTATTTTGCAGGTCATTCTTCCCTGAAGAAATACAGTGTAGTGTAAAGTACCCACAGGATTCAAAGGTTTGAGATCTTATTACTGAGTAAAGCTTCACATGAGCTACAAGGGTCAGAACTAGTCTTGAAGGCCTGCACAATCAGTCCATGGTTGTTTCACTTCCTTTACCAGCCAGAGAGGCTGGAGCTACTGTCCATGCCTGGAACAAAAGACTCTGATATTTAAGGACAGCAAAGTCTTTCATGAGCTAAACTGGCAAGAGCAGAATATATAGTATGGTTGAAAAGTACTGCACTTCATGTCGTTCTGCTTGTCTCTGCAAACAGAGTCACTGCAGGCAGGTCACCTCTTTCAACCTTGGGAAGACTATATTCTTGCAACACAGCTTTCCCTTGGCCATGACAGGAGTGTGAAAAAATAACTATAAGGATTAGCTAGTGAATAGCACATGTTATATCTTTATGGTTTAGGGAAAAAACTTTGTAGTGGAAGCAGAGTTACATATAGTGTGGGTTTTGATTCTGCTGTATTCCTCTATACCTGGAAGAATATGAAAAATGCTAAAACATCAGGAGACTTAACTGTCACCCAGGCTTAAATAAAAAAATTGAACTAATTTGTGTATGCTAAGATTTTGTAGTGAGTAAGACAGAAAGTAACTCTAGGCTCAATTATTCACACAAACATTAAGAAACTGTGTTCACAGAGCAAGAGACTATCTCTGAGCAACAATTCCTGTTAGAGGCTTCAGAGCTCCCACACCTCAACACAGGGAGAAAAAGAGCTGCTCGCCTGCTGGTTATACATAGGTGAAAACCTCAGAACATGTCCTGAGTTTCTGTGAATCTAGTCCTCATCAGCCACAGCCACACAGACAGGGATAGCACTTCCATTCCCGCAAGAGTCGCTGTTGTCAGCTTTTCCCATGCATATGGCATATGCCTTCCCAAGGACTCTTTGCTACAGAGCCTTTCCATATAAAACATGTCTTTGATAAGCAACTTCCCTTGCAAAATTTCTAATAATGTCTTTCCAAAACAAAACCAAAGCCACCAAACCCTTGCAATTTGCTGAATTCATGTAAATATTGCACTTTATGCCACTCCTGGCATTACTTTGCCTCCCTGTGTCTTTCTGTTGAAGCACCTTCACTGAAATCTTATTTAAGGCATCAGATTATAATCAGACTGAGTTCCTCCTCAAGATTTAGTAGTATTAATGGTTTAGGGCAGAATCTCTTACCACTTAAGGATCTTAGCTACAATCCAGGTAAATGTGAAACTGTCTTCAATTTACAGTGACACTGCTCAATAGCATCTTCCCACATGACAGCATATGAAACGCTAAACATCTGTTCATTGCACAATGAAAGCTAACTGTCAGCATACAGCACATTGCTACCTTATCCGCTGGCCAGTTAGCACTGCTCCAAAGCTCAACTACTTCCATATGCTAGAAGGTTTAATACCTTGGCTGTTCAGCCGTAATAATGTGCAAATACTATTTTGTTGTTACCGGTTTCTGTGTTTTAAACCAGCACAGGCTATGTGGACATACCTGTGTAAGTGAAAAGGTGACTCTGTTTCTCATTATATCACTTGATATTTATTGATTAATATTGCTTTCAGTAGGTATTAGCTTTATGCTTGTGCCACACAGAGCACAAGATGCATAGCTAGTGCTTAGGAAGTAGCAAACGTGGCAGCTATGGTATGTGTTCTAAGGACTCTGGACTCAATTAATGATTTCTCTTGAGATTTCCTGTATTTGTACCCTTTATGTTGGACAGGCTATCCCCTTATGTTTCTGGTATGGTGGGCATAAATATCTGGTAAGTACCTTGTTCTGAAATACTGAAATTCCTGTATCAGTCTATGCAATGTATGATACCATGTTTACCATGGCTAAACAGTGTTTGGGGCAACTTGGGTAGATAGTTGTTATCTTTCCTGCTTGTATTTCCTCTGCCTAGCTAGATATGTGTGTGTCTAGCTGGAGTGCTGCCTAAGTTTCTGTACCAATGGATCTTGTATAGCAAACTGCTGTCATCACTGCTGTGGTTCTTGGCTGTCTCTCTGATCTTTCCAGTTCTCCTGACCTGACTGAACCTGTGATCTACAAACTATTGGGTTTGCCTTTTAATTTCATCTAGTAAGCAAAAGCATGATGAATATGCTATGTTTGAATTTACTCAAGTGAAACTGCTCATTTCCTGTGAGAAGTGGGAGGAGGACAAGAGGCAATGCGTGCAAATTGAAATACAAGATACTTTGTCTAAACATAAGGCTTTTTTATTGTGAGGGTGGTCAAACAGTGGAAGAGTTTGCCCAGAGAGGCTGTGGAGCCTCCATCCTTGGAGCCCCTCAACCCATCTGGATGTGGTTCTGAGCTATCTGCTCTGGGTGACCCTGCATGAGTAGGGTGGCTGAACTGCCAGCCTCAACTCATCTCCAATGCTGTGACACTCTCACAACAACTCGAGTCATGACAAATTAAGATGCTTAAACCCAACATTGGCTTGACAAGATTTTTCAGGAATTGGTTCGTAGTGAATGAGAAAGAAACATGCTAAACGCTGGGGTACGCTGCAGCCCAGGAAAAGCACAGGGGATTCTTCACACCTGCTCCCAATGCTTCTTCCAGCTTTGGGCTGCACGTTCCCGTGACCCCTCTTTGGCATAGCCTCCAAGTCCACCTCATGCAGACAGTCCCCACTTTCTGCTGGTGATTATCCCTGTTCTTTTGCCTTTAGGTCTGCTTTATCTTTTCACTATACTTCTTCTCCTTCCACATGCCCTTTCTTCCTCCTCCACTCGCCCATCTCCACCTCCCCCAAAATGTATTGCAAAGCACCTGCTGCTTTCCACTGGCCTTCAAGGACTAAGTGCAGCCCAAGGGCATAGAGTCTTTTAAAAACTGTTACACCACTCAAATATTTTTTGAAAATTTGACACATCCTCCCTGGAAACAAGCTCTCACAAAGTAAATATTTTCTGAGCTTGTCAATATGGAAGGAAATACATGACTTCTAAAAACCATATTGTTAAAACTTAAACTGCTGCCTGAATAACCAGCAGTCACCTACTAGATTAGGAGACTTGCTACACACTCTCTGCTTATGTTATTAGCTGCATTAAATTAATGGGATAGCCTCAGTGTGGGCAGCTTTGCTGATTTTGCTATGTTTAATTAGAGTTAACTTTTTGCAGGATTGTTCTTTCCTTGTAACTAAATGTGGAGGATAAAACTAAGCATCAGAGAACTCAAAGGCAGAACTCCCACCAACTTAATTGGGATCAGGATTCTTCTCATGCTTGAAATACTTTCAACTTTTTAAAGCCTTTTCTAATAGTATATTGCTTGGAAAAGACTTCGCTGTTCATGAGGAATGTGGATTTTGGAAAAGTGTGGTGAATATTTTGGTTACCAGGAGAAAAAGGCTGAAAACTTTGTGCACAAATCCAATTTTATTTCAGTTACCTTCTTCAGTAGCTATACAGAATACTTTGGACACTGGGCATTAGTTGAATTAAGTGTGATTAGTCTTATTAAAAACCCAAATTTCTGCCCAATCAGTTTTGAAAATCATTGTGCATGGAGCATTTCACCACTTCTATTTAAAACAAGATCTGACAAATGAAATTGTAAAAAAACAAAAAAGTGATAAATGCACAAAACTATGAAAATGGCCTAGAGCATTAAGACCTAAAAGACTTAATTAAAAAAAAAAAAAGCTGCTATTAGTTGTATCTAGTGTGCTACCCATAGGTACAAATGACTGGAAGCTTAGAAGTTTATATAGTTATTAATTACATTGAGAGCATACATACACGTAGGTCTATTAAGTAGCGTCAGATGATGTTTAAAACCCCTATTTCTGATATTCTCAGTGTGGTATCAGAAGTGAAATTAAAAGGAGACTAGAATCAGAAAACAAATTACTTCATTCTGACAGGAGCCTAAGAAAAGGCATCTAACCTCTGAAGTAGTTTGTGGCACTTGTTAGCTTAGTGTCCCATACTTGGCATTCGCTCAGGGGAACTGTGGGTTGCCTGGAAGCTGCCCTAGTGTACTCTTATGTACAAGGTATAGAAATAGAGCTGGCTGTTGGCCTTAGCCATGCAAGTCTTCTGTCCCTGGTTAAAAATTCAGTAGGTCTTATGCAAACACGTGCTGGTGCTTCTCAGTTGTTCTCCTGCGGCACTGCTGTTGCCTAAAAGGAAAGAGGAGAGGTTGCTGTTTTGAGGAAAGAAACAGTCACCACCTATTTCAAGTTCTTAGCATGGGCCTTTATTCCCAGAGTAGCTCAGCATCTTAAAATGGTGCATTTGTTTTCAGTACTCCTTGGCATAGTTTTTCAGAGGGCGCTCTGCACCTGACAAAATCACCCTGTCCATCGGCTCTGTGTGACCATGAGCAAGCCCACGGCAGAAGGGACAGCTGAGGAGTGCTTCCTCCTTCAGGCTGTCTTCTGTCCTTGATACTCTGCTCTACTTCGTTTTCACAGGAACTGCTTGAAAGTCCAGCTTGCAAGGCAGGCTGCAAAGAGAAACCACCTCCCTCAGCAAAATTCCCAGCAGCAGGAAACTTTTGCATCAGTACTCGCATGGTTTGTACCTGAACTGTGTGAACAGTTACTTCCATGGGCAAGTCCTTGGATAGACTACCTACTATTTTAATTATTAGGCCTATATAACTTATTATGTATTTACTGTATCTAGTTAAGTAAGACTTCATCATGGCCAGACACCACACACAGGATTTACCTGCAGAAAAATTTTAGACGAAGAAGAAGTACTGAATGTGCTTTAGCTAGGCAGATCTTCTCAATCATAAAAGATATACAAGTATACTTTACATTACTCTCTTGGTATTTTTAACTTACAGCTCTCTGTCTTCCTACATCATTGTGAGATCTAGTAAGCAGAAGAAAGTTTGATTTTCCAGTCAGTTTTCCAAAAACCCTCACTGAGACCAGAAGGTTTTGTAGTGTGAAGTCATTTCAGGTAGCTGGATGGCCCACACTCACTACCACTTTCCCCCTTACTGGAATTCAATTACAGGAATTCATGAAAGAGACCCAATGATTAAGATTTACCTCTCTCCTGTAAGTCAGATCCAGTTTCCCACAAAATGTACATACACTGCCAGATGGTTACAGCTCATGAGTAGGAAAATAGTCCAAGTCAAAACACCTAGTCTCACTTGTTATCTTACATACTTCATATTCAATAAAGTTAAAATAAAAAGAAAGCAAGCAAACACTCAACTCTTACGTGATTTTCTTTCAACATTTTTCCATGTTAATTTCCCTTTAAAATCTGAATTATAAATTTGAGTTTAATTTCTCAAGGACCTTTCAAACTCAGGAAGGTCAAAGTTTGTGTTTCAAACAGTTTCAGCTGTTTGGTAAAGTTGTAATCATGTACTGTGACAAGCTTCAAAGAAATAATTTACATGGCACTCGTCAGTTACATAAAACTTTGAACTAGATCTTTCTAAGGGCTTACTCCGGGAAACTTCTCAGCACTGAATTTCTGGCTTCAGTGAAAGGTGAAAGTGTTCTGCATCTAACATAACCAAACAGTCTTTGAATCTCTGTGGCTGAACATCAAGAATCTGTCTTTTCTCCCCGTATAAGCAGTTACATTTCCCAATGCATGGAAGAGCGCTAAAAGGAACTGTAGTAAACTCTCCCAGATGTCCTATCTTGGTCCCTCAAAGCTGATCTTAAGATTTCTTTTCTATTCAAATAAAATCTCATGCCATTGCTCAAGAATGCAAACAGCCAACCAGCCTATTCTAGCTCTCAGAGCAAGTCTTTCTGTGTCAAAGTTTTGATTTTAAAGAATTACATTAAATTAATTAAAGTCTTCTTTACAGTAAGCTACAAGGTTTAGAACAACTGACATGAAATTTGATGCTTTTTGGCAGAACAGTTTAGGCAGGAAATGTTACACATGACAAGTTGGCCAAACAACGTAGCTGCTTCATAGTTTTCCATTGCCTATGTTGCATTTACCACCATTTGCTGCCTGAAGACACTTAGCTAGTAGCAAAATTCTCATTAATCCTCCTCTTTGCTCAGAACTGATTTCCTGATGATGAAGGGAAGGCAAGCTACAAAGCAGGGAACTCCCCATGGGGAAAGGGCAAATTGACAAATCGAGTACTATTTGGAAACAAGTTTTATGCTGGTCCTAGATGGGGATGCCCTGGGAAAGGCAGGGCTGCTGGACCTCCTGCCTGTCCCATGGCATCGGGGCTCTGCCCTGTGCAGACAAGAGGGCAGCCCCTTGTGCCCATCTCCGCAGGGGCTCAAAGCTTGGGGCCAGGCGGGGAGTGTGTATTCTCCTACTTACACAGACAGTCCGTTCTCCAAACTGGCTGTAGAAGGTCATCTTGACTTTGTGCTTGTGCCCAGTCCTCTGATCAAAGGTATTACAGCTGTCGAAGGGCGGGCTGTACAAATGCAGGCTAACAGCAGACTCTGTGTGGCTTATGTTCTCCACACGGTGCAGGCCAATGGAGTCTACACCAGGGAGGGCATGAAACGAGAGGTTGTGTTAGTGGGAAGATTTAATGAGATCTAAGATGCCTGGAAAAATCCTTTCTAAACCGAAACTCACAAGCAAGCCAACTAGGCATGCCCACACTTTTATAGGCGACAAGTAACTCAGTACAGGGAATATGACTGTTGTTCTCTAGCACAGATTCCAAAATACACTGCTAATTCAAAATACATCATTGCCTTCCACACTTCAAGTAACTTCTGGATTATCTGCTACAGAATAAAGACCAATAGAAATTCAGAAAAACATAAAGACCATGCTGTCAGTAATTTTCTAGCTATCATTCCCAAAGGACTTCAAGGTTATTTACTTTCCTAGGAGATGCTGTTGTTATAGATGCTTCAGAAGTGGGAACTTTCGTGTTTCTGAAAATTAGCAAGACATTTTACAGGGAAAAAGTTTTTGTATTGCTAATTCTTAGCCCTGTAACAAGGATATCAGTCACATTAAAAGTCAGCTACGTGTATTTGGGGCATGAGCTTATGGACAGAGATATAGTTGTCTTCTACTGCAGGCATGTTTCCTAATTAATCCTTCCAGTTTATGACTTTGGAGAACAGGCTTTTCATTTGCCTGCTCTTTTGACTAAGGTGACAAAGTAGTAGTGCCTGGCATACTTCCAACCTTAACTGAATAGTAAACATAATTGAACACGTAATAAAATAAGGCACTGTCTGTTGTGCGGTCACCAATGAAGTAATGGCACTTCCTGTGACAGCGGAGTAGAAATCAAGCTATTACGTAAAAATGTAAGGTATGAAGAATCACATCCACGAAACAGACCATTTCCATTCTACACTGAAGTGGAGGTTTTCAATTACTTAAAAAGAGACCTTGAAATTAAATTTATGACCCTGCTGTAAAAGCAACTCAGGCCTTTGTACTTGAATAAATATGTTATATAATACCTAGACCTGTATTGTGCAACGTAGGCATGCTACCCTGAGAATCATGAGTACACTCTTAACTCTGATACATTTGAAGTGTAAGCCCTAAGTGTCGTTGACATAGTTTATCTAAATAGAGGACATAGGGGAAAACAGTTCTAAACCTGTGCTCATCTAATGAGAGACTTGAATAAACACTCTTTAGTGGGTTCTAAACTTAAAAATAAAGTACAAGAGCAACCAAGAAGCATGCAATAGAAACACGAAGGTCACTCACTATTGAAGTAGTTAGGGCAATTGACACACTGTCAGTGTTTTCTACTTGTTTCACCTGTTTCTTTTAAATCAAAATATCTGTTATGAAACATGGCAGAGATCCATCCAAACTGCCTCAGAGAACGGAATACCAAATTTGTTTAAAACGACCAAGGAAGCTTTGGATCAGATGCACACAGGGTGCAATTGCTTGCATCGGAAAGAACTGCGTAGGCAGGAAAACCTGACTGGACAACCCACATCCCCAGCATGGGAGCATCAGCAGATGTGTCAAGCTACTTCTTGCATTTCCTGTCCTGTGGATTTTGTCTTTTCACTTAATGTGGCATAGCTTCAACAGAGGGCTGCAGAGCACTAGTCTTTTTTCCCCAGTGCCATCACCCTGGCGTAGTCCATAACCCAACATGAGGCTTCCGCCAGCTGATGGGGTCCCAAGCTGAGCCCCACAAGGTGTGTACTCCAGTTTTCAACTCGTCACATAAAAGGCAGATAGCCCCCTTCTGTGACACTTTGCCTTTGTTGTGCTGAACTCATTGCTGTTCAGTATGATGTGCAGTATCTTTCATAGCATCAGAACACATTACACCCAGCTGGCCACTCCAGGATGGCCTCCAGCATAGTACAAGGTGGTGATAGTTGCAGATACATGGAATGGCATGAATTTAGGTACCTAGGGAGCCTTACTGGTGGAGAACATCTCTCAGTATCTGTGGAGTCAGGCAATTTTTTTGTAGATTGAGTGGACTTGAGCATTAAAATTCTGCTCATCCTGCATGTCAGCACTACAGTCTTTTGTTGATTCAGACAAGAAGTAGCAGTGAGGATTGGGACCTCTGCTCCTGGCTGGTCGATTTATTCTGTAGACAGCTTTTACATTTTTGACCTAGGATTTCCATGACTGACCAAAAGGATTATTTCTTTGAAAAAAATGAAGGTGATTAAGATATCTAAACTCTGTTTCCCCTCTTTCTCACAAAATACTATTCAAGGTCTATGTTTACAAGAATTTCAGATATGTCTGCATCATTAGGGACACAATGCTGAAGGCTGCTTGGTCTAGAGGAGATACTTGGCATATTTATGTATCAAGCAATTGCTGCAATGTCTTTGGAGAGAGTTAAAAGGATATTTTTTTGTTCTTTGTTTTACTGACTCTAAATACAGGTTTGTGCAGAACCTAGAGAGCCACATTCTTAAACTGTGCATAAAGCCATTAGCATTATGCTGTTAAAGGTAGGAGACTAGAAAGCAGATGAGCTCTTCTGTTAGGAATAAAAATTGTGGATGGCTAGTTGTCAAAACAAGCTTAATAGCTTACCATTAATGTAGGCACATTGATTTTCCCTCAAAACTCGTTCTGATTTCTTAGTCATTTCACCATTCCCTTTTTTCTCAGGCCATTCAAACAGAGTCTCCTTTAGATTTCCCTGAAGGATCTTCATAAAGCAGTGTGAGTCAGTGTGATCATGGATGCTGCTATATATGTAAAAAGAATAACCAAACTCAGTGTGATATACATATTTAATTTCAGTACAGCAAACAGGACAGATGGGATAGTGTATTGTAACTGGGCATAGCCCTATAATAAAATGCCATTGCACATGGGTCATGCACAAAAGTCTTAGGACAAAACCATTCACGGTGACTAAGGTATGCCTACTTAAAACTGCTACCTCAGAAATGTATTGAGATAAACTCACATACAGCAGGACTTGGAGAAGAGTCAGACATTGATCAGCCTATGACTTTGCCACAGAGAAATACAAAGGAAGTCTGGAGGAGGGAAGCAGGCAGAAAAATTCTTCAGAACACAAAAACTCTTGTGGGCCAAGAAACAAAATGGTGCTTTCCATAGTGACCCCAGGCAGAGGCTCATATAAACTTGCAAGTATACCTGATATTTGCAGATCCACCATGCTTGCTCCTGAAACATGGCAAAAACGAGCTACTTCTGCTTAATTTCTATGGTCTTTTTACTGCTGACATGCACAGGCGTTTGTTGAAGAAAAAATGCTGTACCTCTCACTCTGATAGTATTGACAGCTACAGTAAGCTGTTAATTTCACTAGTTTGGCAAAACATGAAAGAAACAGCAGGATCTGATATGATCTGTCTGCTTGCTTGATCTGTCTCCTTGCTCTGACATATCTTTTAATTGCTACATTTTGAGACATATGGGCTAGATATGTAGTTTAGGTTTGTGGCTTTTTTTTTCATTTGGGTTTTTTTTTATCTTTTTTAAATAGAGGAGTACCTGTTATAGAAGTCCATGGGATTAGGACAAAGGGAAAGCTCTTCACACATCAGGGATGAGGGAGAAGGGGGAATTTCACCGTCCCAGAAGTACACTGCTAATGAGTTTCAGTCAGAAACTTGGTACTTGTACATTACTGTTTTCAGTAAACAAATGTCAGGGTTTCTCAAACTGAGATGCCAAGAGAGCAGAGCTTGCTTCAGGCACAGAACAGTTCATAAATGCCACGTTGTCATGCTCCTTCCACAAGCCATGAGTACAATCTGATCCTCCTCATGTAGGAAGTAAAAACATCTTGTGGTCTCAGTCTAGCTCTAGCAAATGCTCATCCAACTCAAACACAGTTTGACATAAAATACAGGCTTTGTGGGAACAGCCTGGAAGGAGTAGAGCTAGTGGGCTTGGTTCCTATATCCCTCTGAGTGTAACGTCATGGCATCCCCTAGAGAATACTGCAAATGTTCAATTGTACATTCAATTAAAACAAACAAAAAACCACTCTGACATCTCCTTAGGTCTTCTACTTATCTGCAAGAATAATCTGTCAAAACCTGCAAGTTTTGTTATTTCATATTTTGATTTAGCCAACATTTTGTGAAAGACTACCAAGGGACAGATCCTGCCCTCACGTTTGTAGGACAACACAACCCAGTGTACAGTCTGTGTACAAAACTCAGGAGGCCACATCAGCAATGTTGTCTGTTTTGAGGGAGGAGAAGGGATGCGTGAACCTAAAGAAAGCCAAGTACTCCTGGAAAGGGGCCCAAACCTACTTTTTTCGTCTTGTCACAGAGGCAGGATTTAAACACCATGAGAGAACAAAGACTATTTAAACTGCACTAAGTGCTGCTTCTGCAACCAAGTGTCGTACGGGTCTGTTGTATGGGACAGGTTGAACAGCAGGTGTTCAACCTATCCTGGCCACAGGACCATCTGTATCTCTGGGACTAAAAACTTCCTCTGACAGAAGGGAAGCTTAGATTTGGTGGAAAAAACAGAGCATTTTTAAAAGAGTGCTCTAAAAATGTCCATGAGGTACAAACTTGCAACAGCTACAGCAAATATTCACGACTGCTATACTAACAGGATCCCTGCACTGCTTAGTTTCTGGACACTTTCTGATAGCTCATATAGGGCTGATTATTTTTCTGGTTTTGTACGACAGTGAAAGATACAGTGGCTTTATATCTCTTTGCTAAAACGATAGTCTTTGGATACGAACCTGCCATGCCCTTCACCCCAGCACAAGATCATCAAGTTGAACTTTCCATTTCCATTGTCCACAAGATTTCTGGTATACCTGCAATACAAAGTGTTTGCTTTTTACTGTACAGATATGCCTATAAAAGATAAAATTATACAAACATGTTTATGAAGGAAAGTTGTGACATATAAAAATCCTTTTTCTTCTTTTTCTTGAAAGTCACGTTTTACTTGGAACAAATTAAATTGAATTTTTAAGCTTCTTTTTTTGTAAGAGTTGTGGGAAGAAAAAAAATGGACATATTTAATATTTTGTAATCGTATTAACTTTTGAATTACATAGATGATTGGAGTTTGGGAATGAACTGTGAGTCTGAGACTACAGTGGTAGACAGGATCAAATCAAAATAGTTATTGAATGAAGTCACTTCAGCAGCTGGCTTATAATTAGAAACAGAGGACTGCAATGAAACAAGAAAACTACATGATTACATTCTTCTGCAGCTCCTTTTCAGATATTCTTGGCTTTTCTTCTGTTATGCAGCACTTATTTGTACAAAGCCAAAAAAAAAAAAAGAAAACAGAAGATGTCAGGCTTTCCATACCTGGTCCTCCTACCCTGTTCCTGAAAGTTCTACGTTTCGTACTGTAGCATCTGTGGGTGGACAAAACACCTGTGGGATAAATTCTGCCCACGTTTACTTCTAAACAAAGTTTATCAGAGGAAAATTTGTTAAAAATATTTTTCAAGTGCTACCTTACAGGTGGCACAGAATCAGCTTGCTTCTAAAGGATTTTTATTGATATGCATGTTCTAGACTGATCTGCTCTGAGGGCTTGAAAACATCTTTAATAGCAACATCTTATGTTTGTTTCCTTGTACTCTCCTGCAAGCCTTCCCCGAGCTGCTGCTTATGTCATTCTATTGAAAAGTTCACTAAAGAAGGGACTGGGATTTTGCTCTATACATTACTTTCCATAGTGGGGCTCTTCTGATCTGGGGCTGGTGGTTCTAGCTGTTACGGTGCAAGTAATGCAAGCAGGGGAGCACAGAAAGTGCACTGAGTCAACTGAATGCTTTTTAATTAGTTGCCCCATAACACCACTCTATTTTACTCAAGATAGGATGCTCATAATGAATTACTTTCAAAGCATAACATGTATATCTACATGCTGCCTCTCACCGCATCCTCAATTTGTGTGTATATTAAGTAGACATATTTTTCCTATGATGTCAGAACATAAGGAATCAATGCTGGCATTTGACTGAACTTTTCAAGTGCTGTTATTTCTGTACAGCAGGTCTGGCTGGCCAAAAACATGAGGGCTGCCATGCATACTTCCACTGTTAGCAGACTTTGTTTTTCCAATTTTTAGTTACCTATCTTCTGTTACAGATTTCATGATTTGCTCTGAATGGAGAATAGTCAACACAAGGTTAAAGGACGCTAAAAAAAGTCAAGCCAGATGATGCTTTCATGATAGCAAGGTTAAAAGGAAAATGTTTGGGGTTTGTTGGGTTTTTTTACTATTTATTGTTTTTTAAAGGAAGTGCTCAAATAAAATGTATTTATATTGAAAACGAAGACAGGAAAGTCACCAATGGCAGGCGTAAATCACTTGTTAGCAAAGTAGGAGCGACTCAAAACCCTAACAGGTATTCTCCTTCCTCCTGGCAAGCAGCAAAAAGCCTCGACCTGCACGACCCCAGCGGAGGAAGGGACTGAAGCGTGGGGGGCTGACGGCCCCCGACCCACCGGTAAGGCAGGGCACACACTCACCGGCTTCTCTACCGACCCTCTCTACCAAACGCCCGCTTTGGAGCGGTCTGCTCCCTGACCCCAGCACGCCGCGCAACCTCCGCGCAGCGGTTTCTGCTACCGACATGCCTCTCTCGGGATTTTTTTTTTTTCCTCCACTTTTTTTAAA